CTTGAGCAAGTTGGGAGACCATCATAGTTGCCAAGATCATAGTCCCAGCAAACTGAGGACAGCTGCAGGTTGGGATCAGTTATATTTTCTGAGGCGCTACAGAATTAATACTTGAGCACCCACAGAAGTCCATTGGGACTGGCAACAGCCATTTATTCTCACCTTTGCATCAGTGTCCTTGGCCATATCCTTTACAACAAAGTCAATATAAGTTCATAGATTGAAAGCATGAGGAAGACACACTGAGTCCAGGAGTTAAGGCATGATGAAGTCAATGGATCCAAGGAAATAGGCCTGATACTTTTTTTAAAGTTCCAATTGTAAGCAATTGCTTATTCTTATGCTTACATTATCATTATTATTATTGATCATCACACAGTCAGCCAGATGTTCAGATTGGGTTTGACATTTTTGTCCACCTATTGAGTCCTTACCAAGGACCTGGGATAGGCAAATCTGGATGTTTCACGGTGTTACAGATATCACCGCAGGATGGAAGCTGTTCCAAGTAAAGCTGCCTTCTGCAATTGATTGATGGCAAATTTGTCAATGCCAATGGTGTTCAAGTGGTGCTCCAGTTGTTTTGGGGTTGCACCCAAAGCGCTTTTACTATTGGTACTACCTTTACTTGCCTTTGCCATAGTCGTTCTATTTCTATTTGTAGGTCTTTGTAGTTTGTTATCTTCGCAAGTTCTTTTTCTTCTATTCTGCTGTCTCCAGGCACTGCCACATCCACTATCCAGACTTTTTTTGTCTTTCTTATCGACAGCTGTTCAGCCCAGAGTGTTATGTGGCAGGTGCCTGTCTGTCTGAATTCTGAAGTTCCAGAGCAATTTAACTTCTTCATTTTCTATGACCTTTTCTATTTTATGGTCCCACCAGTTCTTCTTTACAAACAATGATATTTCTTGCAGATCTTCTAATGGATCATTGTTGCTACTTTGTCATTCCACTGCTTGAAGTCAGTCTGTGCAATCTTCTTGCAGCAACTTACTAGGTGGTCCACTGTTTCTTCAGCTTTTTTGCATAGGCGGCATTTACTGTCTGTTGCTGTCTTCTCAATTCTGGCTTTGTATGCATTTGTCCTTAAGGCTTGGTCTTGTGCAGACAGAATTAATCCCTTGGTCTATTTTTTAAACCTTCCTGCTCTTAGCCATTGCCAGGTCTAATTATTATCTGCTTTCCCTGCTATTTTTTTTCCCATGTAGTGGCCATATAGTGCTTTGTCTTCCCATGCCTCCATTCTGTTCTTCATTTGGTTTTTCTTGTAGGCCAGGTTAATCTCTCCAGTACTCAGCAAGCTTTCCTGCATACTAACTTCAGTGCATCTCTTCATTGTCCTTGAGATATTTTTCCAAAGCCCTTTTTCTTCTTCAACAATCTGATATTTTTGCAACATTCCACACTCACCTATTTGCCTTGGTAGGTAGAGTCTGTCAATGTCACTGCGAGGATGAAGGGCATTGTCATTATTTTTCTGGTCTTCTTATCCATTGCTTTTAATTCTGCTTGAGTCCAGTCCACTATTCCTGCCGTGTATCTAATGACTGGAATTGCCCAGGTATTGATTGTTTTATATGGAATTTCCTCCATTGAGTTTGGACTTCAAGATCTTTTTCACTCTCTTGATGTATTCACCTCTAATCTTTGTCTTAACTTCAGTGTGCTTGATGTTGACAGCCTTAAGGATACCCAGGTATTTGTAGTAAATATCTTCATCCAGACTCTTAATGCTATTTTCATGGGGCATCTTGATTCTTTCAGTTTTTACTATGTTTCCTTGTTTGATAGTGAGTTGGCACATTTGTCCACTCCAAACTCCATTGCAAAATCTTGGCTATATATACAAATAGTGTTGAGCAGCGATTCTATTTCAGATGGTGTTTTTCCATATACCTTTAGAACATCCATGTAAAGGAGGTGGGATTGTCTGGCAGATGTTTTTGATGTCTGATAGACATGACCTGAGTTATTCATTATTGTTAACAGGAAACAGTGCAATGACAAATAGTAGTGGTGATAGTGAATCTCCTTGAAATATTCCTCTCTTGATATTAACTTCTCCCAGTCTCATCATTGACCTGCAACTGTGTCTTCCACTGTGCTATTGATCTTTGCACAAAGCTTCTGATGTTTCTACTGACTCCTGTTATTTCTAGGCACTTGATTATCCAGTCATATGGCAGAGTGTTAAATGCATTTTTTTGTACTTAATCCATGAAACATTCAGGTTGGTCTTCCTTCTCTTGCAGTTTTCCAAAAACCTTTTGTTGATCTTTTGTTCTTCTGCTATTGGGGCAGTTTCCTTTCTACTTAGGTGGAAAGAGATTGTTTTCAATTAGATGCTTTGGACTGCATCAGCTACCACACCAGTTAATAATTTGAAAGTTGTTCATAAGCAGGTAATTGGCCTCTAGTTGCCTGGTGCTGCTCCTTTTGCTGGGTCTTTCATTATGAGGTATATTTTGCCAGATGTTAGCCACACTTCAATTTCACCTCCTTATAGTATGTTGTTAAACTGCTTGGCAAAGAGTGGGTATAAGCTAGTTAGATTTTCAACCAAAACCCATGCAGTTCATCTTCACTTGGTGCTGACCAATTCTTGATCTCCTATGCTTTTTTTCTCTACCATTTCTGCTGTTATTACTAGTTCTTTCATTTTAACTTATTTTTTATTCTAATTCACTTATTTTAACCAAGCTGCATCCTTGTTGTATTTCTTTGGATTATCCATATCTGCGCCCAGTTTCTTCCTTGTCAGGTAATTACTGATTCACTGCACTTTCTCCATTGATGGATTGATAGAAACATTTCTGATTGAATTAAAATTTGTAATTTGAGCTTCGTACCTACTCATCTTCTTGGCTATTGCTATTATTTGCTGCTTTATTATTTCCAGTGCTTCCTTGATCTTCCCTTTTTCTTCTTCCATTATTATTGTTTATTATTGTTGTTGTTGTTATTAATTTCTTCAATTCAATTCACAGACTGGGACTGGTAAAAACTTAACAGTTCAAGTCCTGACCAAGGACCTAAAAGCTCATTAAGGTAATTTCTGAATATATAGGCAGTTCTGAGAAAGGTTGTTTTTTTCTAAAGTTTGAATATTCAGGTCTAATAAGTTCAAAATTTCCTTGTATCTAGTCAACTTTTTGGGTATTGCTACAAGTGCTCCTATTACTATTGGTACAACCATTGATTTCTTCCTTCACAAATGCTCAACTTCAATTTGCAGATCACAATATTATGTGGTTTTTTTTGTTTCTCTTCAATTTTATCACCTAGTATGGCACTATCAATGAACCAGACTTTTTTCTTTTCTACAGTTAGTGATGTCAGGCATGTTGTGGGCCTGATGTCAGTTTGGGTTCGAAAGTTCCACATTGTTATTGTTATTGTTCCAGACTACCTATCTACAAATAACTTCCAGTTGTTTTAAGGATTAAGCTACAACTAATCTGAATGCAAACAAACAACAATCTGGCTTTGGTAAAGCAATGAGTGAATAGTCAACAAAGGATTGTATAGGATCTGATATACCTGTAAATTTGTATGGATCCCATTCTTACTCTAGATCTTCAGTGAAATATTAAATCAAGTTCTAACATTTTACTCTATTTGTAAGGATCTGTGCATAAACTCTGAAGTCAATACTTTATTCAATAAACAGATAACCAAACTGACTTCAGCAATGTTAGTTTAGAATTCTGTATTCATTTTTTTTCTTTCTCAAATAAACCCCTTTTTATTTGTCTGGTTTAAAAATTTTTTTAAAAAAATCACTAACAGCTTCTTCATTTACAGAGTTGTGTGCTTAAGCTGTACATTTTTCTTCTAAAAGTAATGGTGAGAAGATGAGTTCTAATATATTTTCTCTATAGTTTTCAAACAATCTGATGAAACAATCTATTTTAGAAAGTCACATAAAGGACAAAAATTCCCAGAAAAATTGCCATTGCCATATGAAGTGTATATGATCATTCTGACTTTCAATGTAAAAATATGTCTGGCAATATGCAGCGTTCTTGAGTTTCCACGTTTTCATTCAATTAAATTGCATTAAATTCCAATAGCTGCAAGGACATCTGTGGGAAATGGAATAATGGGAGACATAGGACAACAGAACTATATTAAATTACATATTTGCTTACTACATCAGGGTACAATAGTTGGGAAGAGTATGACACTACAAAATTCATTTGTGTTCATTTCATGATTTGCTCCAAACATCAATGGTATCTTGAGCAAAATTCCTCCAAGGAAAACTTTTTCAGAAGTGTGCTTATATAACCACTAGGGGGAGACCTGCTCTTGAGAAATTCCCTGAGAATTTTGGAGAAATCCTACAATTTTCATGTTGGGCATTATTTTTTGTGATTGAGAATCTGTTGGATTTGGGAGAAAAACCAGTTTGGTGTACTGGTTAAGGCACAAGTCTACAAACCAGAAAACTCTGAGTTCTAGTTCCACTTGAGGCTCGAAAGCCAGCTGGGTGACATTGGTGTCCCTCTCTCTCAGCCCAACCTACCTCACTGGGTTGCTGTTGTGATTAAAATAGGAGGAGGAGGAAGTATTAGATATTGTTTTATAAATAACTGAAGATGGTGAACATACAATGGGATAAAAAATTAAGAAATAATGAATAAATAAAATAAGTGACAAATGACTAGTGCTACCCTTATTACCAGAACCAGATTAAGGGATGGTTTATAAACTTGTTGAGTAAGGCTAGTCTCTATCAGGAAATTTTAATTTGATTCCATAACTAATTTTAGAGTCCTTGTAAAGAAAGTAGACTGCCTGCCATGGAGGAGGAAAATAAAGAAAGAAAATGGCAGCATCATTAGGCCTTTATTAGGCCTTTATTTATCATTAGTTTTTGTTTCAACCTTTTTAATTGGTGGAATCAGTGACATCTGTTCCTTGCTTCCAGTGCTATGAAGCTCACAGGATGGTATCTATAACAGATCTGTAAGAGGAAGGATGTGGAAACAACTCACCAGTTCTGTATGAGGCTGATAACCTGTGAATAGGTTTTCCCAATGATGCTTTCACCATTTACTTTAACCAATCGATCTCCTGCAAAAAAAAGAAGATAGGAAACTGAGAAAGCATAACCTTGTTACATCCATTGCATCTTGCACTGAAGGCAACGAAGAGAGAAGAGAAAGCATACTTTACCGACAAAATTTGCCAAACCGTTTTTATTATTTATTCATTCATTTAACTTATACGCCACCCATCTTGTCTAGCAGCAACTCTAGTCAGCATATAACCAAGTAAAAACAAGATAAAGCATTAAAATATTAAAATTAAAATTAATATTAAAATTCACAAAGATATCAAGGAAGAGAGCAAGGTACAAGCTACATTTTTTTCAAAACTTCGAATTTAGATGTTCTGCAGTAGGAAAAGTAGCACTTTAAAAACAGCATAACTTGAAAATACAACAGATGCTTTTTGGAATAAAATAACTGCTTTTTAAAAAATATTTTTTTTAAAAGAACAAAAATTAAAAGATAGAGACACAAACCAAACAGAAAAATAGAAAAAAGGAAAAAACAAAAACATATTATATTATTAATATAGGAAATCATTCCAGCCAATTTTTATATACATTATTAAAACTTGAACAGATGGAATATTGATCAGCTTTTCCATTACATTAATGGAGGCAATTTGTAAATAGAAAGCAGGTTACTTTCCATTCAAATTTGTAAATCTGGAATCATCCTCTTTCCAAAAGAATATGAGTATAAGAGAGATCGCTGTGCCTCATGATAGTAAATCTGCAATTCCTCATATAGTGATAATAAATCTGTGGTGGAGATCAGCTATAAATGGTTCCTTTTTGCCTAAAGTCTCATTTAAAATGGAAACTGGTTTAATTAATATTGAAGTATATTACTATATTCTGGAAAAAGCTGATATCTTCAGACAGAACCTGATAGATGGGTAGAAAACTGAGAATCTACAATATTTCCTGATTTGTATAGAGAAATAAAGAATCACAGGGAAAATGTTTTTATGCTCCATCAAAAAATTAAAAACAAAAATGAACAAAACCTAGCATATTTTCCAGCCAGAATGTTTTTATTCATTTTTACAGAGATATAATCAAATCACCATTGCTTCCTTAATTGTTTTGTGGCATTTGAAATATTAGTCAGAGGCAGTGGAGAAATAGTCATTCTTTCTCAGATTTGCTTCACAGCTTCTCCTTGAGTTTTAAAGTGACCAACACTTTTCTCTCTCAAGCAAAAAGAGAAGCTAGGATATCCGACTATGTAGGTGACCAAGAGCCATACATCATTCAATGAAATGTGAACTGGGAATATCTGTAACCTGCATAAGTGGGTGCGTATTCTCTCTGAATTCTACTGCCTGGCAAGGTAATCATATTCACAATAGCATCAAAGTTATGTCCAGGTTTCTGAGGCTACTCCAGTATAGAGTAAAACCAAAGAAATTGGGAGAGATGAATGTGTATATGGCCGCAACATGGAGCATTTTCCATATTTGCACAGTGCTCATTTTAGCTTACTAATACTAAGATCCCCAAACAACTTAGCATGGGAAAACAGGAGGAAAAAAAAATCAAATGAGAATTGTTTCTTCAAATTTCTACATAATGTCATGTTATACAAAATTCATAAGTGAGCCAGTAACGAGGATCTTAGTGCATTAGTTAACCTCCCAAGAAGTAAATGTAGCCATGCGTAAGACTGAACTTATTACTCTGTCCCAAGTGCCTTGGGAACTGCTGGTGTGAGGTGAATTAATCCTTATCTCTTACAAAATTGAGATGTCCAGTGAAAAAGGAACCATTCCAGACATTCCATCTCTATATCTGGTTTGGTTTTTATTCTTCATGAAGAGAAACAGAAAAGTGCATTGGGGGGGAGGGGGGAGGCAGGACAGACAAACCTTGAAACTTTTCAACAGCATGTGGAATTTATCTTTTCCCCCCCTTTCTGTTTCAGTTTGGGGGGGGGTAGACTGGTTGTTTCAACATAAATCCAAGCATCCCCATGTGCTGTTAGTATACAGTAGTTACTGGCAGGGAATAGGGGAAATGGATTGACCATGTCATTAGCATAGTGACATATATCTGTAATAAAGACATTCAGGTCTTACCTGTCTGGAGGCCAGCCTGGTGTGCTGGCCCATCTTCTTTTACATTTTTGACAAAGATGGTGTCCATGGGTTCCAGCCGGTTCCGTGGTGGTGCTGTGTGTGTTAAATATATATATATATATAGTACCAGGAGTTTTGATACCTATCTTATTTATTTGCATGTTCTATGATAAAGCCATGTAGAATTCTGAAATCTGAATTATGGTAACAAATTGTCTGGCGGGCTGTCTATGAGATTAAATGAAATGGGAACTTCATACAAATTATTCCAATATATCCTAAAAAATAATCATATGGTATTACAAAATCCATGGACAGAAAGAAAAAGAGGACAAGCAACAAAAAAATAAATGGATTTAATTACAGTAGCAATTGGCACATCACTGGAAGATCTGAACAACCATACTGAAGGTAGATCATCCTTGAAAAAATCTATTTATATGGTCACTAAGAGCTGATATTAATGTGATATCATAATACAATTCCAAAAAATGTATAGCTATACTTCCATAACTACCACAACACTGCCCTGATTTAACTATTCCAACAGTGTTCAGTGTCTTCTTCTTAAAGGGTACATCCAGAAAAGTCAAAATATTTTTTGAAAGACAAAGAGCAAAAAATGCATTTATGATGGCATCAAGTCTGCTCAATTTAGTATTCTGCTTCAAGGCACTGGAATTGCAAATGGGAAAGCGAAAAAAATCTACCATGATTAATTAAAACTTAACTGACTTCACACTGATCCTCTTACAGCACCCTTAAAAATACTGAAATTGCCTCTCAACTTTATAATCCTTAATGCCCTATCATTCTTTAAAAAGACTGTTGATATGACTGCAAACTCTCCATCACATGAATCCTTTCTCAGATTTTTCCAACCAGTATGATCATTGCTGAAAATCTGGAACTGTAGTACTCATATCTAGAAGGGAAGGTTCGATTCATTTTTTAAAAAGGGCTTATAAATCTAGGTATACAATACTAGATATAAAATGTGTGATTTGTTTGGAAGACTACAAACCAAATGGTATTCCAAACAAACCACAGATTTCTTCTTTTTACATAAACATATGCAGTAGAAATTGAACCATAATTTTGATATGGAGAAAGGTATTTATAATGGTTTGACCTTCATCTTATGATGGGTTGGGAGGTCCACTGGGTTTTGACCTATGCAAAAAATGATATTGTCAAACACTAGCTAACTGTTTTGAGTGGACAACTTTTTGGCAAAGTAAATGACTGCAGCCCACAAAAGGAATATTTATTTATTTATTTATTTGTTTGTTTGTTTGTCAATCGCTTACAAGATACAAGTATAAGAATAAACATAGTTTTGAATACATGAGATAGATACTTATAAGAAAAATAAAAAGAAACAATAGGACAGGGACGGTAGGCACGATTGGTGCGCTTATGCACGCCCCTACAGGCCTCTTAGGAAGGGGGTGAGGTCAACAGTAGACAGTCTAAGGTTAAAGTTTTTGGGGTTTGGGGAAGAAACCACAGAGTCAGGTAGAGTATTCTAAACATTGACCACTCTGTTGCTGAAGTCGTATTTTCTGCAATCAAGTTTGGTGTGGTTAACCTTGAGTGTGTATCTATTGTGTGCTCTTGTATTGTTATGATTGAAGCTTTGCAGGTAGGACATTTGCAGGTAGGACATTCCAATGTATGATTTTATATACTATATTTAGATCGGACTGAAGGTGGCATAGTTTTAGGTTTTCTAGTTCTAGAATTTCAAGTCTGGTGGCATAAGGTATTCTGCAATGAGTAGAGGAGTGGAGAACTCTTCTTGTGAAATATTTCTGGACTTTCTCAACTGTGTTAATATCAGATACGTAATGTGGGTTCCAGACTGATGAGCTGTATTTGAGTATTGGTCTAGCAAATGTTTTGTATGCTCTAGTTAGTAGTGTGATATTACCAAAGAAGAAGCTACGTAGGATTAGGTTAACAACTCTTAATGCCTTTTTGGCTATGTAGTTACAGTGGGCTCTAGCACTTAGATCATTAGAGATGAGTACTCCAAGGTCCTTGACAGAGTTTGGATCCTCAACAAGGTCTTGACTATTTAGCTTGTATTTTATTTTCTGATATTTTTTTTTGCCAATATGTAAGACAGAGCATTTATTTGTTGAGATTTGAAATTGCCATTTGATTGACCATTCTGATACATAGTCAAGGTCTTTTTGGAGGGTAGTAATATTGTCTGTGGAGTTCAATATATGTGTAGCGCTACTTCCAACAGGGCTGCCCAGCTGATCGTGTCCATCAGTGCTGCTCTCCCTGCTACCTCTGCTACACACTCCCCCTCCACCCAAATTTCTTAGGTCCTCCAAAGAGAGAGAGCCAGTTTACTAACAGCCCGCATGTACATTATATGGCTCTCGCTGGTGAGATGATACTAATCCTATAGAATTTCCTATCAACAGTCTGTGTGTGTGTTGGAGGATGGGTCCAACATGTCCTTCCCCATGGGCCCATTGGGATGCAATTGTGCTTCTGAGGTCCGCCTGGCAGTGAATGCCACCTCTGCCATGCTGTGGCCCAAAGAGTGATATGTCAGTCTCTGCGGAGGATGAATTGGTCTTGATTCTCTAGGTTCAGCCGCGTGGACAGGACTCTCTCTGGAGGTATGGCAGGGCTTAGGTATCACTGAGAGTGGAGTCTTGTTCTGCGTTTCTGGCTGTTGAGTGGAATGCTCACTGGCCTGCCTTACTAGTTCCCCAAAGATGTCCTTCTGTTCTTGCACATGAGGCACAAATTCAGGTGCTTCTGGCCTAAGTGTTCCTGGTCCAGTACTCGTGTCTGACATGGGTGGGTCCACCTAAAAGAGCTTGAGTGAAAATAACCAGTTCGTATAGCTCTCCTCCTAATCACTGTCTTCCTCTTTCTCCAGCACAGAAGAAAGTGGCTATGTAGAGGTCACTCCTCCCCTCTGTGAGAGGTTCCATGGGTGGTAATGTATGCTGCTGGGAGACACATACTGCCTCATTCAGAGGTAGGAGATGGTTTCAGTACATCTTCAGTGGTCCCATGGCCCCCTCTGGTGGATCCGGTATACTGGTAGCCCAGCCAATTTCTCGCAGACAATATAAGGTTGGGAGATCCACCAATCAGCTAGTTTAGGTTTCCCTGGGATGCCTAGATTCCTCAATAGCACTTGATCGCCTAGCTGCAAGTCCTGGATTCTCACCCTCAGGTCACTGATCCTTTTGTTCCTGCAGTCTCAGGTCTCTGAGATAGACTGGGCCCTCTCGTATACAGATTCCTCTTCAAATGTGTATCGTAATCGCAATCTACTCATAATTTCAGTTCGAGGCTAATGAAGTATGGTCTAATGAAATTCCAAATGCTAAGTCTACTGGCAGTTGGGCTTCCCTTCCAAACATCAGAAAGAGCATCCAGTACCATCATTTCCCATACTATTCCATACTGTTGTATGCATCACCAGAGCAGAAATATGTCAAGTTCAGTGCTGCTTTTGCTCTGCAGACAGTGTTCCTAACATATCAAGGAGAGCACCATTACACTTCTCAGGTTGCAAATCCCCTTGGGGATGGTAGGGAGTTGTGCGTGACTTTTAGATGCCCAGCAAGTTGAGCAATTGTTTGATGAGCCAACCTCTCAAAGTCTCTAGCTTGATCAGAGTGTATTTGCTGAGGAAGCCCACAATCAACAAAGAAATTCTCCACCAGAACTTTGGCTATCATGACTGCCCATTGTTTTTTGTTGGGAATGCTTGTGCGTAACAAGTGGTCTGTCACCATTAATACATTCCCCTGCCCACTTGTATCAGGTTCTAGATACAGAAAGTCAATGCAGACTAGCTCCATGGGACCTTGAGTGTGTAGGTGGAGCAGGCCTCGAAGGTAGGGCCTTTTGCTGAATGCAGCATCTACAGGACCTCCAGTTCAACTTCTGCTCTCATACATGGACAATAGAACTGATCCCTTAATAGTTTGAAGGTCCTTTCTGGCCCCAAATATCCATGGTTGTTGTTTAATGTGGTTAGTACTACTTCTTTATGTTTCTCTGGGTGGAACTGCTGCCACATTTCCTTGAGTCCATCAGGGAGGCCCTTCCAATAAACCACCCCACTCCAAAACTGGAGCCGGTCCCATTCTTTAAGCAGCAGCCAGGCTATCTTCAGGGAGTCGGTCAGCAAGATTTCCCAATGACCACTCTACAGAGCTCTCAAGGTCAACCCACAAAGTGGATCTTTCACATGATCCCTTCTCAAATCCTTTTTGTTTAATATGCAGCAGCCCCCCTCCTTTCATCTGGCTGGGATTGCAGTATAAGTTGAGGACACTTGCAGTCGTGACCTCTGCTCCCACTGTTCCTCTAACCCAGTGTTCAATCCCTTGATATAAGGCTTGTATAGCATTTGGGGATAGCGTAGTTCATTCTTCGCCAGGGGCCTTAGTTCAATGAGGTCTTCTTGAGAAGGCATCTGCATCTCAGTTCCCTATTCCAAGCCGATACTTTAGGCTGAAACAGAATCTGGACAAAACAGCTAACCATTGATGTCAATGGTTTCAGAGTATCCAACAACTGGGGAGGGGGAGCAAATGTTGCCTGGATAGGTAGATACCCTTGTATGGGATCTCTCCGTTCCAATGCCCCAAATCTTCAAATCGCCCAATTTTTGTGGTGCCTATCATAAAAATCCTGGTACAGTAATATCATTGCACATCGAGTCCAAGAGGGCCCTTGTGTAAATGCCCTCCATTTGTACTGACACCACTGGGGAAGAGTGCAGCAGTTGTTCAGGAATCTCAGCAGTGAGGGACATAGCATCTGGTCTGTCATCCGTGCTTGGGCACTTCTATGAGTCTACGAAGGCTGCTGCCAGACCTTTGTTTGTTTTATCCTTGGCAGGCCCTTTTGTATGTGAGCCCCTTACTAAAGGAGGTGCTCTCATCCCTCCTGTCACTGAGGGGTTTTTAGTGAAACTCCATTTGTGAGGGAAGACACCTGAGACTGTACTTGGCCACCTCTTTGGCTGGAGCTAGCTAATGTTAACAGGCACCCAGTTGGCTCCTTCACTGGAGCCCTCTGTGATTTCCTGACTGGGCCAGGTTTTGGGTTTGGGTGGCTTTGTGCAAATATACCTGTAGTGCCCTGTGCCCCCACAGTTGTAGCAGGCTCATCCTGCAGTAAACAGAGCTAATCAAGCATAGTGAAATGCCTTTGGCTAAGTGTTAAGCTTCTAATAGCTTCCACCACTGGTATTGTGGCCCACCAGTGGCTAGTGGAGCTGGCAGCAGAATCAGATAGTGAGGTGATTGGGGAGGAACATGGGCCAGTACTGGAGGCTGAAGAAGGCTTGGACAAGGGCTCTGCATCAGAGGCAGAGATGGGGCCAGGACAGTCTGGCAGTTGTCAGCTGCCTTCTGGAGTTGGACAGCAGTGAGGCAGAGGAGCAGCTGGAGCCAGTTCGCAGCCTGCACATGTGCAGAGCTGCCAAAAGAAAAAACCAATTACAAACTAAGGGTTGACAGGGGAGTAAAACCACAGGTGGACGGTGAATGACCCCCTCCCATAGGGATTAAAAGAGAGCAAAAAGGGAGGGGGCTTTTGCAGGAAACAATTTGTTCATTCACTGCAGCAGTGTGAAGATTTGTTTGTGCATCTCAGAGACTCTGTGCCAAGCCTTTCCTTGTCAGCACTGCATTTGAAGATATTTATTTGGCAACTCTCCAGGCTAGATAAGGTCTGTACTCCTAATTATACCCTTGAGAGACTGTATGCCAAGCCTTTGGCTGAATGTGAATGTAAGAAATTCACCTTCATTTAATAAAAGGGGTTTGCTGGGGGGAAAAGTCTGCTTAGTGCTTTTTGGGGAAGCCTAGGTCAAAACAACAGGACCCTTTAGGCTCTCTCTAACCTTCAGCTTCTTTTGTGCATCTGATGCATCCCAGTCTTCCACTATCTGCTCCAGTCAAGCTTCATATTCTTTTCCCCCCTCTGGCCCTGTCTGTATCCCCCAAAAGATATGCACCTTCTTGTACCCAGCCCCCTGCATAATGGCTGCCTATCTGGGTTTGGATGGATGTCCAGCTTCTGGGAAGATTCTGCCTTTGATGCCCCTGCAGTAACCAAGGTGTGCGTCTCCCCTTGTGGGGCCAAAGTATTCACTGAGGGTCTGGTATATCACCCTTGCCCTGACATCCTCAGTCAATTGAAGGCCACTGACCCCAAAGCATTCTAGGATTCTTCTCTTCCACTCTAATAGCACATGAGTAAGAAGAGTCCCAATCCACTTTCTATCCACCATATAAACCCTCTGATCTGCGACATGGGCCCTCACTGCCTTTAGGATTTAGACCAAGCATCCCTTGACCAGGCATCCCTTGACCAGGGAGGTCATTGCTGCACTTGTCTCTATCTCACTATTCTGTTCCTCATACCATTTAGTGACAGCGGTGGAATCCATTTGGTTCATGGCTCAGGATGGGGTAACCTCCCTTTGGAGAAAGGATAAAAAGGAAATCCTTGGCTTGTACCATTACCCCCAAAAGGGCCACAAAAATCCAGCTCCATCTTCCCTTTCTCCCAAATAACTTGGGGTCTTTCAGCTCATACCATGTTTCTCCAATAATACGGGCCCCCCCAACAGGAAGACCCAGCATGTTTTCTAGGCATAAAATGAAATTAAGCCCCTCCCCCCAAATTTAGGCCTAGTTTAAAACATGCAAAATTGGGGGGGGGAGAACTTGCCATTAGGAGTGCCCAGCGGGCAGCTACACCTCACCATCAGCCGCTCCTAACAGCCAAGCATGATGGAGCACAGAGGGCTTCTTACCCCTCCCTTACCCGGGTCAGCAGGTGGGCGGTGTCAGCGTGGATGTCCGGCAGCATTTCAGCTGCTTCTCAGGCTTCCGTAGCTTCCACGGTTCCCACCGGTGCTGGAGCCTCTCTCGCCAGCGCTGTCTCCAACAAGCGTCTGAATCACTCCCGCTTTTCCCCCGTCCCCATAACAGGAAAAAAAAACATTTTGAGGTACCTGGGAGCGCCGCAATCCGTTTTGGTTTAATTCCGAGCATCTGGGTGGGTGTGAGAAGAGCCAAGCGAGCATCTCTGCTGCTGCTACCCTTGGTGCTCCAGCCTCGGGCTCTGCAAGTTTGCAAAAGTCCCGGTGTGCAGCCCGTTCTTGCATTCCAAGCACTCAGGCTGAGCTGCAGCTGTCCCTCTCTTGCTAGCGCCGTCTCCAATAACAGCGGCAGCAGCGGCGAAAACCGTAGAAGTTACGGAGGTGGCTCCCCCACCTGAGAAGCGGCTAAAACGCTTCCATGGTTCCCACCGCTGCTGCCGCTGTTATTGGAGATGGCGCTGGCGAGAGAGGGACAACTGCAGCTCGGCCTGGGCGCTTGGAATGCAGGAACGGGCTGCGCACCAGGACTTTTGCAAACTTGCAGAGCCCGAGGCTGGAGCACCAAGGGTAGCAGCACCAGAGATGCTCGCTCAGCTCTTCTCACGCCCACCCAACTGCTTGGGATTAAACCAAAACGCAGCATGCGGCACTCCCAGGTACCTCAAAAACTTTTTTTTCCTGTTGTTACGGGGACGGGGGAAAAGTGGGAGCAACTCAGACGCTGTTGTTGGAGACGGCACTGGTGCGCGGGGAGGGGGAAAGAAATTAATTCACCCCTGAAAAGACATCCTAGCCATTTTTTCGGGGCTCAAAAAAAAATAAGGCCCGGGCTTATTTTGTGAGAAACAAGGTAGTCACTGATCTAGCATCTCAGGATCTCTCATTTTGATTGTTCTTCTAGTCGCCTCTACCTCAGTTCACCTTCTCAGTCCTCTCTCTCTGATCACTGGCTCGCTCTCTTGCCACTCTCTCTGGGTTAGCTTCAGTCCCTCCCTCTTTGGGTCAGTATTGCTCCCTTTCTCTCTCTTTGGATCGATTTCACTCTTGCTCTCTCTCCCCCCTTTCTGTCTGGCCCCTACTGTCTCCCACGCAGCCCCGCTAATCAGGGACCAGGTAGCAGGGTGGTGACAGGGTAAGCTGATAAATGCTTATCCCTCTCTTCTTTCTCTCACCTCCTCTCCTCTGTTTGCTTTTCCCCATCTCTGCTGTCTTTCTTTCCCCCCCCCCATTGCTTTTCTCTCTACTTCGTTCTCTCTCTACTTTGCTGTCTCACTCTCTCTCCATCTCTCCTTCATCCCTTTCTTCTTCCCTTCAACATGTGTCTCCTTCCCTTTTCATCGCCCTTTTGTCCTGGACTTCCCCTTCCCCCCTAATTTCAAGGTCTCTGTGGGGTGCCATATGATGACTGGGAATCCCGGGTTGCCTGTGCCTCTCAGCAGGAGCTCCAGGACTCCTTCCACTGCCCAGCTGATCGCACCCATCAACGCTACTCTTCTCCATCACCCAACTGATTGTGCTACCCCTGCTACCTATGGTAATTGTATATCAAGAATTTTATTTGTGACATTACAGTTTTGCAAATTAATAAAGCTTAATGCATGGTTTGACTGGTCTTGTTTGGGCTCAAAAGCAAAGGAGGGCTGAACCTGCTGAATATGTGGATAAAAGTTACAGGAAATTTTAGGTAAGCTAAACATCCCAAAGGCAGCAAAGGCAAAGCACTTCTATAGCATTGCCAATAAAATTATGCATATGCACCTATGAGATCAGCAGAGGTCAAGCCTGACTCATAAGAGATTTTATGTTTTTATTCATTCAAGCACAGAGTATGATATAAATCAATCCTAACCTGTCTTCAGCAGGAGGGAGAAAGGGATGGAAAACATAACAAAAATTAATTAGAATGCATGGGTGAATTAAAACATCCAATTTATTGCATTAAAGAATAATGTAGAAATAGGGTAGCATAAGGAAAGAAAGGGAACTAATGAGAAAGAAATAATCCTTAAAAGAAGGCAAGCACCAGTAGAGCTACCCATTCAGAATCTTGCCAGTGAGGCTTGCTTTTCCTGTGCTGATGGGAAAGGTAAGACACAGGAAACAACCAATAAGAATCTGCAATGGCTATGGTATGAACTGAGCACTAATCCATCTCTGTTGCCAAAACACCACAATCAAGACTCAAAATTTTAAAATTGACTTCAGGAACAGAAGCAGCATAAGAGGCGAGCAGGACAAACTGACATGCAGAATTGTCCTAGGTGTACACTTTCTCTCTCAACACCTTGACAGACATTTGGTTTAGCACATGCACCTTGCTCTAAGGAATGATCAAAGAAATACAGCAACATACCTGTTCTGTTTCCATTTTCTTCTTCCTGAAAGACAGGGAAAAAAGGATGTTAAAATACACATACCGCATAAGATGTTAAAGGGAAGTTATCATTTTACCATTTTTTTTAAAAAAAATGCTATACTGAAGTTTTCTTCCCTCTCCAAAATATTTAACCTTACACTGGACAAAACAGTAGGTAGAATAGTTGGAGTAACTAAAAAATAAGTAACTAGGAAAGGAAAGTTAAGCCTACTAACTATGGGCTTTTCTTTTTTAGAAAAACCACAAAATTCCATGCACTGCTAAATTATGTTGCTTGAGCCTTTGAAATGCTGATAAAAAGGCATAAGTTTGCCTCTGATTTTTAGCAAATGTGTGATAAGATTCAATATACAATTCAATATATGCGTGTTTAACTTAGGCATTTCCCATAGATCAAAAAGTCAGAAATGACACACCAGATTAAAATTATTATCCATAATTACTGATATTGCAATAGAAATGCTTTTTACTACTTACATTCAATATTAATATACTGTAATTTACAAAATTCTATATAAAAACAATGTTTTTAGAAAACCTGTAATTCTTTTTTTAATCCAAAGTAGCGAAGAACAGGGAAATTGTGTCCTGCCATTTTGGTCATAGGATGGACACCACAGTCCTAACCCAACACAAAAGTCTGGGAACAAACCTAAGAATTTCAAGTTTTTATTGTTAATGTGTTCCGATGATGGAGCTGTTACAGGATGGTTTGCAGACTCTGGGTGTGGTGTGTGTATGTGTGTGTTGCAAACTAATAAAGATGCTAAAAGGTGTTTTTTTTACCCCTTAACTGAAGCCAACGTGTAAGACTAAAGAAATGGTGCAAAACTCAACTCCCGCTTTCTAAATAGAATGGCACCTCATAATAATATGTCTAGAAAGGAGTATAGTTCTATTTTATTTGTTTGATTGATTGTTCTGCCCATCTCAGTTAATGACTCTGGGTGGCTTGCAATTCAAAAAAAGGTTTATAAACATTTTAAAACAATAAAAACAGTAAAACCAATAAAACACTAAAACATCCAAATTAAATATATATAGGAACAGGATACTTGGCCAGTTTAGCAATATAGCCAGGAACAGGGCCCTTAATACATTCAGGCTCAGCCACGCTTTAGGGCCTTATGAAAACTAACAAGGCTGGGGCCATTCTAATACTCATGCTGGTAGACAATTCTAATGTATGCATTACTGACACCAAATAATTGTTTACTGTATATGTCATTTTCACTTATATATTTTTGTTAATATATGTAATATGCATTCTGATTTTTTTTAAATCAATACACATCCTTGACTTAAGAACAGTGCAAAATTTACAGAATGTAATCTGTAGTAAAGATACCTATTTAGTTCTGAACTGCTGTAATATAAATGTCATTAATATTACTGTAGAAACAAGGAATCTGAGGTGCTGTGGAAGCAAAAATTAATACCAAGAATGTCACCAGGATTGCTCATAGGCAACAGAAGAACTTTCAAATGCTCCCTTACATTGTCTCACTCCTGCACCTGTTGTATGCCAGTAAGTTCATCAGGTGATGGGGTCCTTTTATTAGAATTGAGCAGCCATGAATTCAATTCATATTGGCCAGCCTGTTACATTGCAAAACTAAAACCCTGTGTTCAGAAAGCATTGAAAAAATATCTTGTGCTATTAACAAAATGTCTATCTTCTACTGGGTTTGATCCAGTCTAGTCATGCTGAAATGAATGAAGCAAGTTAATCTTAACTGAAAGCCAATTGAAGCCAATATAGAATTAGTCTGATTGCAATCTGATGAAACTGACATACTATATTAATAAAACTTTGTTTCAGTCATACTGCACACTTTTCATTTTGCTTTAATCTCTGAAATCAATTGAGTAATAATACATCCTCCTTTAATAACCTTTAGTATTACCTACATTTGGCTACTGTAAAATGAAAAATCCACATGATTTTTGTTCTCAACTTATGAACACAATTGGGACTAGAATTTCCATTGCTAAGCAAGATAATTGTTAAGTGAATCATGCCCAATTTTATCTTTTGGCAACATTTGTTAAGTAAATCACTGCAGTTTTTAAGTGAATCACATGATAATAAGCCAACTTTCCCCATTGACTTGGTTGTCAGAAGGTAGATGGGAAGGTCATAAATGGTGATCATATGGCCCAGGGATGCTGCAAACATCATAAATATATACTGGTTGCCAAGTGCCCAAATTTTGGACAAGTGACTCGTGGAATGCTGTGAGGGTTATAAGTGTGAAAATCTATTGTAAGTCACTTTTTACATGGTTGTTGTAATTTCAAACTGTCACTAAAAGAATGATTGTAAGTCAAGTGGATTTCCGATCTGCAGCGCTTCGGAGCAGGCAGGAATCCGCGACTGTGCGCGATTTCTGCCTGTGTTCACTGCCCGAGTGCCCTGAGCCATTTGGCTTCGGGGCTAAGCCACCTCCGTAGAAGGTGGCGAAGACAGGGGGGGGTCTGGCAGGGTCGAGAGATATCGCACCTCTCTTCCCTAGCCGACTAAACCCCCTTTTCCAAAGGCAGCTGAGCGGCGGTCAGCTATGGCCGCCACATAGAAGAGCTCAGCCGGAAAAAGAAAGTGCAGGAGGAGCTGTGAAGAAATGAAAGTGATCTTTGCTGACCGGGACAAAGTAACAGTGAAAGTACCCTGGAATTTAAAACTTATTAAAGATACATCGTTTCCAGAATGTGTTAAGCGGCGAATGGAAATTAAAGGAAAAGCTTTTTTTCTTTTCACTCTCCTTCCGAACGTGACAGCGATAGAACTTTAAGAGAAATCGGAAAACCTGCATTGGAGGTATGGATTTCTGAACATTTAAAGGAAAATCTTTTTGCTGTAAGTGGGAAGGGAGAGGGGGGAAAAATTGGAGCAGAATTTGAAAACAAGGAGGAGATTGCCTAGAATTCTAAAGAGCTATTGAATATTAATAAGACTTCTAAAAGATATATCTTAATTGGAACTTTTTGATCAAACAGCAACCCCAGAAAGAGAAATGGAAGAAAGAAAAAAGTATTAAAAGAAATAGCTTATTTGGATTGTTTGGTGACTTTAATACTCTTGGGAAATATTTTTGATTAAAAGCACTCGGGTGGTTGTTCTAGAAAAAAAAAATTCTCTTTACAATGGCATCGCTTGTGGATGAACTAAAAATTGAATATCAAAAATATAAAAAAGAAGAACAAGATGGGAAAGATACTTTGGGCACTCTTTTTCAATTTCTAGAAATGGCGGTATGTACTTATGAAAAATTGACTGCGCAGCAGGACGACTGGGACAAAGAAGAAGCCATCTTTGATGAACAAATGATTCTATTTGGGGAGGAGGAGAAAGAGGAAAAGAAAAAGGGGATTTTAAGGCTTGAAAAAACAACCAAAAAAGAGAAAAATGAGGTGAAAGGTGGATACAAGGTTAGAAAACAACAGAAAGGGGGAAAGCAGAAGAAGAAAAGGGAGGAGGAGAGACAAAGGGGTAAAAAGGGCAAGGAGAAGAATAAGCAAGAGAGAAAGGAAGGGATGAGAAGCCTTAATGGTGGGAAGCAAGATTTAAAGAAACAAAATTCATTTAGAGACAATGGGTAAATTTAATTGAAAAAGGGATTCTGTAAGGTACATAAGATTGTGTTCTTATATGTGTATTTAGAATAAAATGCTTAAGATATAAATGAGTATTAATATGTATGATTAGTTTTTTAATGGTATTGATAGTGGTCTTATATACCTATAAATATGTTTTTTGTTGTTGTTGTTTTTTTCCTTATAAAATACATTGTGTAATTTTAGAATGTACTAAACAGAATCCCAATATAAGTTAAGTGTTATATTACCGTATTTGCCGGCGTATAAGATGACTTTTTTGCCCTGAAAAAGATGCCTCCAATTGGGGGGGTCGTCTT